TATATATATATATATATAAGGATGATCTTTCAGAATAAGGATTAATCGTCTTAGAGAGATTTATTTAAGAGCAGGTCTAATTCCTAATTTAGCAGCTTACGTTCAACGGTTGAACTTATATCTTGTCTAGACTGCTAGTTTTAGTCATCCAATATAGGTTACTAAGGTGTAAGGTATTAGAAGTCTTAGTTGACGTTGAACTGGGGCTTGTTTGCCAAGTCTAGTGTTGTCTTTTTCTTTCTTTTGTTTTTTAGAGCTGTAAATATTTCACAGTTTTGGTAAATAAAATAGTTTACTCTTTGTGTGTGAGAGAAAGAGACTATATATGTGCAAGTTTCAAATGTAGAGTATAGTGACCTTAATCTTGACGGTAAAACTGTTGTCATGTGATCAGGAGGTCACGAGTTCAAGTTCTGTGGAAACAGCCTCTTGCAGAAATATAAGATAAGGCTGCGTACAATAGCCCCTTATGGTCCGACTCTTCCCCGAACACCGGACTTAGTGCACGGACTGCCCTTTTTAGTAATAGTATAGTCAGCTAAGAATAATTATCCTTTGTCTATAGTCGCTTTCCAAGAAAGTTGCAATTAGATTTATCAAAATATTAGTCATAGCTGTGAGAAAAATAACAAATATAACTAAAGAAAAAAGAATTTCAGCCAAAAATCAATTTGGGAGATCTGGTGTGTGTGTATATATATATATATATTAAAAGCAAAAAAAAAAAAAAAAGAAAAAAAAAAAAAAAAAGCTCGCGAGTTTCAGCCAAAAACCAATTTGCGTGTGCGTGCCACAAAAGTATTTATTTTACTAATACTTAAGAACATTTTCATGAACTCCATTTTCTCTTTAATTACCGAGAGTTTATTTTTGAATATGAATATTTAATATTTCAAGCGAGTTTATATAAAGTAAAAATAGAGGCGTCTTTCTAAAAGTTTCAATTATAAAAGAAAATTAGATTCAAAAGTGGAGCAGGACGAATCGAGAGTATAGTGTTGTCACAATTTCCGAACAAATATTACATGTTTATATATGTCAAATGTAGTGTCAATAAAACAGTATAGCTAGGGAAGGACAATAGATTGAAAAAAAATCTCTATTAAAACAACATAGTACAGTCACGTGTTTGATTTCACATTAATGAAGTCATCCTATATTTCATTTTCCTTTTCTAATTTCAATCCTAATCCTTCTAAGATGACGAAGAAATAAAGGATTATTAATTTACAAGTTACATCCAATGAATTTGTTCCCAACCACTCATGAGAGGCTGAACATCACTTTTAACCATGTTGTGGGAGTTGATTCTTGCTTCATTAATGGGGACTTGATTATGAAGATTAAGATATTCTTCTTCCATTGCCGAGCTTTCGGGGTAACTTATCGTCTCGATCTTCCTCTCATTTTTGACAGAAATAATATTATCTCTACCACCTGCTTCTTGATTTTTAACTGCTGCTCTTTCCCTTGTCACTGCTTCCACTGGTCGTCTATCAAATGCTCGAAAGCTTCCTGATATGACATAAACTCGACATAAACTCATTTCATGCCTTAACTGCAATCAAATGTATTGCATATGTCCAATTAGACAAAAACAAGAATGATAATAAGACATCAAACAGACAAATGTTAAGAAGAAATCACGGATCCATCTATATTAAAGGAAGGGTTCGGGGGAGTGACGCGCCTCAAAAGTTGTACTGATATAGACAGTTTATCCTAATGCAAGCATTAATGACTACTTCCACGACTCAAACCTGTAATCTATTATGCGGAGACAACTTTACCGTAGCCGCAAGTCTCTCTTCTCAATCGATTGATCTATACTATTTACTACTATTAGATTGAGAAGAATAGTACACTCGTTGTACGGAGGCTTTGCTAACGGTATTACTTTTTCCCTTTTTACTTTAAGTTCATCGTACGCGGGTGTATGTAAAATGATAATAACGGGTTTAATTGAACTCATAACTTGCTGTGATACAAGATAAAAGTTTAAATATAAAAATTCGTTAAAATTATAAAAATAGTAGATATGAACCCATAACTTTAAAAATATAATGGGTTAAATGCTAAAAAACTTAATAGTTG